TTGGTCCTTTGGACTTTATGACTGCGAAAATTTGGTAACTTAACTATGCACCAACTGATTCACCTGATAAACCCTCCCTCTAAAGAGAGAGACCTTTTATTTATTTGAACCTATTTTGGTACGATTAGACTGAATTGAAACCTAATCCTGTCCTATCCTAATTCGCGGATGCCCCCTTACAAATGACCAAAAAGAAACATGCAAAAGGTGATACAGAATTGAAATAAGTACTTTAGATATACCAAAATTATATCAACCAGAGCATACTGGCCTTCAGGGTTGTGTTTGTTAAGGTGAGCGATTACCTAAAATTGGCAAACCATTCCATGTGACAGAATGAACAGTCTATAAACAGCATAGCAACAATCATTATCATCAGATTCCTATGCTATATTATCCTATTTATATCTATTAATATTATTAGCCCTAAGATGTTTAATGTTAAAATAGTTCTTCCCTAATGACTTTCCGATGGGCCGGTTGGAATTTACCTATAATTATTTTTATCAAAAAATATTTTTTTAAATAGTTAGATGTACTTACTTCGTGGCCAGCATTGAGAAGATGTTTGACCATATTGTCTCCAAGAATGCCATGACTGGGACTGGGCATAGGAAACACGGCCAAAATTTTATAAGCATGACATGAACACAAACTTATTACCACACAAAACAAAAGACATCTAAATTTATCCATTTTCGAAAAACTTTATAAGAAAATTCAGAGAAAATTTTCGGTTACTTTAACCTTATTAAAACCTTTATTATTTTTAACTTTGTGCGTCGCGTACTAGATACTTCCACTGAGTGACTGACTGACGACATTCGACGTGACAAGTCAACTAACGAATTTTAAAACTACGGCTACTGTTCAACTATTTATTGTAACTTGTTATCTTCATTAGAGCGTCTTTGTGAAAACAGTGACTTAGCGGTTTGTGTATGGATCTTATATGAAGCAAAATAAGATCCATAGCTGTCTCAATTAAAAATGGCTTAATCACCGTTACAAAGAATTTACATCGATTAGGTAATTATAGTAATAATTAATAAGCTATATGTTCTCCAAAAAGACGCAGGATAACTCACGTTTACATATACAATGGGGATGATGACAGGGTATGAAAATTAAAAATATAATTAGTCCGTAACTTAGGTAATAAAAAAATATTAGACACATATTTTTTTATTTTGTTGTATAATAAAACAATACTTAGATAAAACGAATCAAAGTTTAGGAGTGGGGGCTAAAACGTCATTTCTTAGTATAAAATGTACTGAGAAGTGACGTCACGCGACATTTCAAATCAATATATCTTCGAAACTATTCGTTTCCGTAAGAAAATAAAAAATACGTGTCTAATGTTTTTAAATAATCTACCAGACGGACATTAAAATAAAAATTAGTCGTCTACCC